GTCTAAGGCATAATATATTTCTGAATGAATATTGAATCTCAAGAAGAGCATGTCCTAGAAGAAATAGTCACCGAATGACTTTGTAGTGAATAACACTATCTTATTGTGTATATCACATAATAATCTCTCTTATAGTAGAGAATATATCTCATAGAAAATAAATGTTATTCATTAAGAATGAGAACATCCTTGAAGGATTTAATCGATGAAGGATTTACCGGTTGATTCTTGAAAAACATCATTAATCCCTGAAGTGAATGTAGACTCGAGAGAAAGAAAATGAGGAATCCTAAATACCATGAAGGTGTCATACAAACACTTAGAAAGTGTATATTGTAAAACTAGCAATAAAGTTTTGATATCCTATAAATACCATAGAAGGTATAAAAATAATGATGACTTTGACAATTAAATTATCCCATAAATATCAAATGTAAGACTTAATTTATTATTTAGTGGTACAATTAAAATCTCAAAGATTTGTAGAACATATAATTTGAAAATCCACTAAGAAAAGAATTATCAGTATTCAGACTCTAGTATAAGTTTGATACGCTATCTAGAAGATATTAAATATTAACTTATTTACTCCCATAATCCTCTAAAAATTTATTACTACGAAGGATAAAATTTATTTGTTTTGCACAACTAATAAGTGGTTATTATGCATGAAGCATATTGCTCTTGTTTATACCCATATATAATTTATAGAAGAATTATGAGCTAACTTTTTGAAAGATATAGTATTAGGTGCTACATATCATTAATTAAGCATATATTTATGAAAAGTGTGGTTTGAACAATGAAGTTTAAATTTTGGCTTTACGAGAGAGAGCATATATTTATTGAATCTACCTTGAAGATAAATCACTAGAATTACAAAGATCAAACATATCATATTTGCTAAAATACTAAAGTTTATGCATAGATCATGAAGATCAATATCTATTTATGAGGAATAGAATATCTGAAGAATACATAATTAAGAAGGTTAAATGTTGTACTCTTTTTCCCTATGTGAGTTTTTACTTGAAGATTTCTCACATAAGGTTTTTAATGAGACAACATGTGCAATGCAATTAACGTATGCGATGTACTCTTGTCTCCAAGAACCGTTTTTTCCCACTAGATTTTTGGATGAAGTTTTTAATGAGATGTATATATCGTGGTAATCGTCCAAGTGAAAGTGTTGTAAAACATACGAACTCTATCGTAGAAGAAAAGAAAAAGGAGGAATCCTAATCATAATCCGTTTGTACGTGAACTCTTACCAAATTTTTAGGTCTTGACATGGCTATATATACATGAAAGCTCTATGTTGTAATCACCAATATTTAGAGAAATAAAAAATAGCCTTCCTATCTCTTATGTCTGTTCTACTTTTACCAACTATATTGATCATGAAAGACGAAGAGAGAAAAATCGTAACCGCTAGCAAATGTTTTATAACAGGTTGCTCTGCAATTCTGCATCTATTCACGCCCGTACGTGGGCCTGTATGGCTGGGACAAGCCAGGCTGTATTGGCAAGGAAATCAATCACGCCCGTATATAGCTTTGCGTTAACATAGAAATAAGCCCAAGTGATACAAAAATCCACGATCAAAGAACACTACCCAGCAGCTGAAGATTTGACAAGTTAATAATGGTTGAAGACAAATTTGCTCCCATTAATTAGACGGGAAAACAACAGCTACAGCCCATGGTCAATGCACCATTGCATGAACAAATTAAAATGGAACTTTGGTTGGAACAAGAAAAGAAAACAGATTCGTCCACTGCATTTTATTTCATGCATTCCGATTTGCCGTAAAGAGAATACTTGCGACCATGTCTATCCAGCACTTTAGGGAAGTGTTCTCTGGTAGAGTGGAAGGGCTCCCAGTGCTTCACGCTCGGCGTTTTCCTTTTTCACCTGCAAGAAATTTGAGATATCAAACAATAGCCACTTCTTATATGAATTCAGACAAAATAAAAAAGGGAAACAACTTTGCTGCTTTTAAGACTAAATCAAGAACTCTGCAGCATAGTGCTAATCAACAGCTTGAGCTAAGGAGTTTGTTAAGCAGTGACACATGCAATCGCATGTCTGCAGTTAAAATTCTACTCCTAGAGTCACAACAAAAATCATGTTAAGTTGCAATGTTGTTTACAAATTGGTTATTGTACAAAATATTAGAAGCACGCCATATATAAGCTGTCCAAGAATTTGTAAAAGCTACGATTTCTATCTTTCACTGAATATTGGTTTGCAAAAGTAAAATAGCATCAATATGATAGTGACCATGAAAAGGAGTGAGAGCAAGTAAAGGCCATGGAGCCACACAAGAACAATTCATGATATCTAGCCTGAGATGAACTTTATCATTGGATGCCACATGATATGATAATGATTAATGAACTACCTAATACAATGGAAATGATAATAATTAATGAACTACCTAATACAATGGGGTAATGCTTAATACTCCATCCAATCCAAAATATATTGCAATGCACATTTTCCCTGATTCTTCCATGTCTACCTCTACTTAAATGCTAACTAATCAATGCAGTAGACTTGTCAGTTGTACCCATATTAAATCTAGCAATGACTGATAGGCAATACACTCCCAAACTTAATTTTTATCATGTAGATTAGCTTCCTTGTACGCATGAAAAAGAGGGAGTGGAGTAACTCTAATGCAAAGGCATGTGAAATGCCAATGGCATGAAGTAAAACGATTCTTACCAGAGCCAACATGTCACTCAAATATCCTCTGAATGGAACCTGCTGTGCCTGTACAAAAAAGGTAATGTTTCAAAATATGTAAGTTTACAAGATTATATTAAACATTATTTTATGATACTGTAAGCATAACACAATGTGAAAAGAGTATCCGGACACAAAACTCAAGTCCATAGTTGATAACGATATGATTTCACACATTGGAAATTCATATTTTAATTTTTTAAATGAACTATTGGCTTTACATACTCCCTCTATTTTAAAATGTTGGCATTTTAGCTTTGTCCTAAGTCAAAGATCTCTAACTTGGATCAATCTATAATACCAAAGAAATGTACTATCAAGAGATTTAATGGTGGAATTATAGTGAAACTAAGTTCATGCTGTAAATGTTGGTCCATTTTATATATAAACTTGGTCAAAGTTAAAGAAATATGATATAGAACAACTAAAATGACCTAAATTTTGGAATAGAGGGAGTGCATAACAATATCTGCAAAGCTGAAGAGTAGAAACAAGATTCAGATATAGCATTCATCTAAACAACTAAGTGGAACATCTTCAAGGCAAAATGTAGGACGAACATGAACATTAATCTAGAACAACGAAAAGAAATTCACAATCCAAAATGGTGCACTGAATTAAAAAACTGCATAAAATGCCTGAAATAACCGAAACAAAGTCCCTCCTAGCCAATGTCTACATTTGAAGACTGCATTATATAAAGACAGGCTCAACCATAAAAAATCCTGGAATCAATCTGCTCATCAGCCTGAAGGCAAATGCTACCCTAACAACAGAATCCTGGAATCAATCTGCCCATCAGCATGAAGGCAAATTTTCTCCTAAATTCCTAAAAGCAACGGCGCCATCACCCTAATGCTTACTTCGATCTCATCTGTCACCAAAACTTAGTTGAAGTGTCCACCCCTATTCAGAATCGTTGGCCTCCTTTGAAACTTCAGGCAAGTAAAACCATATGAATCAAAGGTACAGCCCAAGCCCAAACACATCAGCGGACACATTTCACTTGACATGCAATCATTCGCAACATTACACCGATAATGAGTCACGTCAGGAGTAGTTTTCAGTAGTGCGACCTCGGACGCTACCGTCACAACAACCACGACCATAATACGAATCGAGAGATCCAGATCAAGGGGAAATGAAGGGGCACGAACCTGGAGGTGCTCGGGGAGGTACTGGTGCTTCAGGGAGAGGTCCATGGCGCGCTTGAGGCGCTGGATGCGGGCATCGACCACCTCCCTAGGAAGCCTCCCGAGCGCCTCCTTGATGTCCAGGTCGAAGTAGGGGTCGTACAGGTCGTCGTACCTCAGCCCTGTTGGATCGGATCACCGGATCACACGCACGCAGAAGATCCGAAACGCACCGCCAGTCAGATCAAGGGAACAAGAAGAAAAATGGCGCAATCGCAAAGGGAACCCGGCAGGATCGAGGCCGTCTCGGATCCGGGATTACCGTATTTCCTGAGGCGCGAGGAGACGGCGTGCATGTGGAGGCGCGCGAGCGGGTTGCGGCGCGGGTTCACCAGCCAATTGGACAGCGCGTTCATTAACGACGACATGGTGGCGGCCGCCGGGAACGGGAACCTCTTCCTCGTCTTGTGCGGCGGCGGGGCGCGTTGTTGTCCTTCACCTCCGCGCTTTTGGGGCAGAGAAGAAGAGAAGCGGTAGTGGGCGTGCGTGGGTGCGTGGACGCCGTCTCGGGCCGGGGCGTTTGGGAACTAAATGGGCTGGGTACTAATAGCCGGCCCTCACGGAAGAATTTGTGGCCTTATGGGCTTGCCCATCGTGTTCAGTTTGGAAAGCCTCTGCAGTGGATGGTATTTTTACATATTTAACATCGTGGCGACGTGAGTAATATAAAAAATACCGTATCATATCACAGTATAAGATATCATCCGTGATAAATATGTAAATGGCCCGCAGTGGATACGATCGCAGATGGAGAGTCGCCGCTCCGATCTCGTGCGCGCCGCTGGCGGCTGGCGACGATCCGGTGAACCCCCCTCCCCAGTTTCGGCGAGCGAGGTGCGAGAAGCTGCTAGGACGGAGGCAACGAGCGCATGGACCGGTGAAAAGAGACCCTAGATTCAAAGCACACATACTGTTCCGGCTGGCTGAATTTTATGGCCCCGTTCGCTACCTACTGTGGATGGCGAGATTGTCCACGGACAAGACCAAGAGCAAATCGAAGGCCTTGACTGGGATGGCGAGAAGCTCACCAAGGAGATCGATGGTTTGCGCCAGTGGATGGAGGTCTTGTCCCATGATGGGGATTATGCTTCTGCTCATGACAATGAGCTTTGGGTTCAGTACAATGAGGAGCAGCAGACAGCATTGAACCAACGCCTCGCTCTGTGTCGCATCAGGGTTCATGAGGTAACTTTTTGTTACTATTAGAGCATCAGATGTAGAATGCCATGTCATGATCATACAAAGTTAAACTTTGTTTTGGGGACGTTGATACAGAAGCAATACCGGGCAATGGATGATGCAAGTCTGTTAAAGCTATTCCCTCCCTCGGTTCTTGAAAACAATTGGTACTATGATCATTATGAGTGCCATTTTGATTGGTTCTTTGACCCTGCATATTGCAAGCTTCCTCATGTGGAGGATTACCAGCGCATGGTGCTTCGTGTTACTGTAAGTGTTAAACAACTATATTCCTTAGTATGAGTTGCTTTCTGTTTTGACTGTTGTTAAACAACTTATGCTTGAAATCGGAGTGAATACAACAAAAAATTGCTGCTAAGCCCACGTGGCCACATTCAGCATTGTATGTTGTGGACTTGTGGTGGATCTCTTGTTCTCCTGCAATAAAGGCAGAGAGTTTCCTCTCTGACGCCGCAGCCTGGGACTAGCTTCCTAGATTGGTGGCTGTTGCGCCGCCTTCTGCTGGGAACGGCGCGTCATAAAGGCTTCGACTCCCTCACTATCCTTGGATCGTGGTGCCTATGGAAGGAGCGAAACCGGAGGGTGTTTGATGGCATCGGACGGTCAGTTTCAGTTCTCGCGGTCACAGACTCCGTAGTGGAAGAGGCGGTTCGGTGGTCTCAAGCCGGGTACGGCCACCTAGCTGCGCTCTGGGCGGCCAGTGACAGCGCCTGATCTTCGGCAGCCCTATTGTCGCAAAATGTGTTGTCATGTAATATCGTCTTAGCCTTAGCCTTACCGTTTTTCGTTTCCTGTTGCCTGGTTAACTCCGTTTGGCCGTAGTGTGCCACTCGCGTCCTAGGCCAACCGGAGTTCACCGTTGTAACAACTCTTACTTCTACTTAATGATATACATGCCAATGCATGGTCGCGAAAAAAGTTTCCCCTCTGATGAGCCCTATTGATATAATTGCACGGTTGGCCCATCTGATGCCTACCTATGAGTTTCCCCTCCTTTTCACTTTGCACCATCGCCCCTACTGCATCGGTGGAGCTAGAAATTTCATACCAGGTGTGCACGGGTGCAAGACTAACATCACATACATTGGAAATAAACTGCTAATTATGCTTGTACGGTAAATACAAACAGAAAGCTAACAACCATGTCATCAAAACGAGTTCTTTACTCTCTATTCAGAGAAAGGCAATAGTGTACAGGATATTTTTGATACAGATGGTGGAGAACTTGTCCTGTCATGTACATGACCATGTGAGTTTTGCGGCCGGATCGATGATATATTTTTTTTTGAACTGTGGATCGATGATATATAGAACTTTATGGGCAGATAAGTAGTGAAATTACTACATTCAGGCACATATGCCCAAGAATTCTTTAGCATGTAGGATTTAGCTTATATGCGATTAGCTGATGCATAATGACAACCCCAAAGTTTAGGTGTACCTGTGCGCAACGGGCATCCCTCCTAGCTCTGCCACTGCCCTACTGTTTCTGAAAATGTTTGCAGTTTGCACCATTGTGCCTACTTTGTTTACAAACCATGCAAATGCAAATAGGTAATCCTTGCAATGTGCCACGTAATACATCATTCTAAACTTTAAACCTCCACAAGGATGATAAACTTATCCCATAGTTGCTAAAGGTGTGAGACTTTTAGGAGCAGATGATGCCATGGACTGGCGCAATAGAACTTTTGCAAGGATAGTATAGCGCTGGTTATAGTGGTCTATGCATGAATACTGTTGCTAGCAATGAATGTGCTACTGATAATGTTTTCATTGTGCAGGTAGAGTTCGAAGGCTTGGAAATTTGCCCCTACGCTCGTAATACGCTTGCGGATGACCAACAATTTGTCCAGTTCTGGGAGAAGTTGTCAAGAAAAACTAAGGTGTGCATAATGTGATTGTTGTACACTTCTGTTCATATGTCATCATATTCTGATTTGCCTTCTTGTCTCATGCAGTTGATTGAATTGTACATAACAGAGAGGTCATGTGAGGTAAATATTCACCAAAAGTCTCATGGTTAAAGGTTTCATTGAATGCATTTGATTCTTTACTGTTGCACCTTACATTCTAAAAGCCGCTTTGTTGTTTATCGTCAAAGAATTGAGAATGTGCTCAGGTATCATGCATTGAAGATCGCAGAAGAACTTCCCTCTGTTTACAAAACTCCAATTGTCGCAAGATTCATGGTAATGCCCTGCCATCACATGTTAATTTAGTTGGCACTGCAAATTATGACGATGTTTGATATTTTTACTTTTTATTAAGGAATTTGTGTGGGGTGTGGTGGATGATTATACTTATGCTGGTTTCCTTACTAAGATGTGGGAACTGCTTGCTAAGCAACAGGTTTTATTCTTGCCTGAATATGCTAAACCGGGGATGTTGTGTTTTCCCCTCTATTTGTTCAAGCTTTATATGCTTGCTGACAGAGACATTTCTTTGCTTTCAACATTGCTTAGATGAATTTCACAGATGCTTTGAGGTACGTGTACAATGAAGGCAAGTATCGGTCCATTTTTCTGTGGGGAATGGGATCTGAGTTGGAACCGAATCTATTTCGAATGGAACAGCATGTAAGTTGCCTTTCTTCACACATGTTATGTTACTTCAACTCTTCTAGTCCCACCCCACCCCACCCCGCCCTTCTCCCACCCCAAAACTATTTTATCACCTGTGTCTAATTCTTTCATATGTTCTTGGTCCAGTATAAACCCTATTTGGATCGCATTGTTGAAAAGGTATCCTTCATTTACATGAGATCAATGTCTAATGGGAATGTTTCTCCACAATAAAGCAACTTGTTGTAGGCTCAAGATGGTGATGTTCATCAGTTGGTCATGGACACCATTATAGAAAATGTCAGTGGCTTCTTTTCCTTTCCGAGATGTTGGATGTACCTCTGTTCTGGCTTTTAATGCACGTTCAAAATTTACTTTATTTTGCTGATGTGGAAGCTAAATTCATTTTCAGTTTTGGAAACCAAGGACATACTATGAGTACGTGAGAAAGAAGATGCGTATTGCTGAAGAAATCGGTTTGATCCCCAAGCAACATCCCCCAAAGTATGCACAAATTTTCTAGATTGCGTGTTTATATAACCAGATCAGACATTTTTAGATTAATTAACATACTATTTATAATTCTACCTTTAGGCACTACACCCCCGGTTGTTACCTCTGATGATGCTGAGCGACGATGAAGACTTCTGGCCGGGGAGATGGCGTGCTCTGCTGAAACTCAGGAGGAAGCTGCGCCTAGAACCAGAACCGGTGCGCACAGGCATCTGCTAGTTGAGCATATAAGCGACACAGTGACAGTCGAGGCATCTCGTTGAAAGCAAGAGAAGAGAATGTCGGTTTCATCCTCGTGGGCCTGCAGATGGGCCGTCCTCTTTAAGGCTTTGGATCTGGCAGCATTCTAGCGATCTAGTATAGTACTTCCTCTGGTCTCAAAAATAATATAAATCTCGCTTCTCAAGAAGAAGACTCTTAATTTGACCAAATATATATAAAAACGTATTGATGTTTATGAGGTGTAATAAGTATCATTAGATTAGTTATAAAATATGTTTTCACAATAAACATATTTGGAGATCTAAATGTAGATAATATCTACAATAAACTTAGTCATACTCAAGATTTTTGGACTCCTCGCGAAGCAAGATTTACATCCTTTTTGGGACCGAGGGAGTAGTATACTGTATAAGTGTTCTAAAAAAAATTAGTATACTGTATACCGATGTTAGCGTCTGACATTTCTACAGTAGTACTAGTACGACACTATTACTTTGGCGTCCATACGGATACGGCCAAAACTCACTGATACAGAGAATAAAGAACAATTGCTTGTACTAAAAAGTTCGCGTTGCAGTCCAATAGTACTAACTTTGACAGGAAAAGAAACTCACAATCAAGGTAGCAATCAGTAGACAATAACTACCATCAGTTGTGAGGTTCTCTCAAAGGTCACCATCCAGAGGCGGCCATGCATTTGTCTGCACTTACCGGAAACGCCACATTGCATAAGCTTCAAAGATTAGGCAAGGCAACTAATCAAGTTGCGCCCATACTAAATTGGTGTAATGAATGGGCATGCACTAACACAACACACTAGTGAGTAGTGCCACTCTGTTTATTAAAGAAAACCAAGCATCAGCTGGCTTAATGAGACATCCAAAACTTTCTGTATGGAAAGGACGCTTACATTGATTTCTGCAGGAAGGTTCTGCTTGAATTTTTAAAGAGTGAAGTGATCAAGGATCAAATCCTGGCCTGGCCACTTTAATGGAAAGGAAAAATAATAAATTCTTGGCAGCCCCAGCACTGAAAGAGGGCAAAGAAAGAGAGAAAAAAATTAGTGAAGAATTTAAGTTTGATTGAGACAGCACAACAGCAAGGCAGCTTTGCAACAAAATTCATGACAAGAAATTTCATCGAGTTGCAATTGGAGAGTTTTATGAGGTTGTCAATATATGAGGGTTTTCCGCTATGGCATCCCATACCCATATAAAAACAATTCAATGAGCATCACTGCCCACCTAGAAGACTGTTAACCCATGGCTTTCTTGGTTTAATATTCCTTATCCCATTTCCAGAACCCACGACTTGCTCGGCAGTAGGTGACGATGATATTTGGCAATCTTAAGCTGAAAGGGAAATGCTAACAGAAAATGGGAAATTAGGAAATACTGGACATGCAAGTGATGAAATATGAAGTGGTGTTCTTATCAGTGAAGAAAAAATTGGTGGCTAAGAGAGGTTCAATTTATTGTTGCCGGCTCAAAGATAATGCCTCATTCATTTTTTTAATTTTTCAACATCAGAGCTGAAGTGGTCCATCAGTTGGAAAAGCTGTTAAGTTTCATGGTCCATTCTCAGCGTCAACACGATCTCGTATGAAAAGCACTAGACCTGCACCCAACTTATTGGCTGGGCAAAGTCGGCAAACAGAAGGTGTGCTTAAAACCCGAAGAAATGCAAAAAACAATCCAAAAATGCACAAAACAATCTCTTTTTGAGTATTAAAAGTATTCACAAAACTGAACAGAATTCCCGTTGACTAGAGTTGCTTCATCTGGACTTCAGAATCCCTCATCAGGATGATCAGCTTGCTGCAGAAGACAAGCACATTCAGGTGCCCACAGACAAGCACAAAAAAGGGCAGCTACCAGTGTTACAAAACCTTGATGCTCACGTATTCACGTGTCCTGATTCCTTAAAACTCCAATTCGAACTTTTCCACAGGTTCAAAGTTACATTGAGATGTACTCTATTTTTTTCTATCCAATAACAGCTGCACTAGATGACAGTTTATACACAGGAGAACAACACCAAGAAGCAACTCAATGTTTTGTTGAACGCTATTTATCTCAACAAATAAAATGTATCAGGGCTGAAAATAACTCAAAATTGCACAAAAGGAAGACACGAAAGAATCTCTTAGAATAAGTTGTTTTATCTCAACTTCAGGATACTCATCAGAATGATCAGGCTCCTACAAAACCTAGGCACATTCAGGTGCCCACAGATAAGCACAAAAAGGCAGTCATCAGTGTTACAAACCTTGATGCCCACGTCTTCACGTGTCTTTATTCCTTAAAACTCCTAACTTTTTCACAGGTTCAATTCAAAGCTATATTAAGGAGATGTATTCTATAAATTTGCTATTCAGTGACAATTATGAGTGCTCACAAGACAAACAAAAGGAGAACAGACGGAATTCAAGCTGTTGGACGATACTATCATGGACAAATAATCGGAGCTTTGATATACTTTACACAATGACAACATTCTCTTTCTTCAGCATTGCCACCGATGAACTATTTGATCATCAGAATTATCCTCCCTCAAGGCACAAGAAGGGTGAGAAGGAACAGGATATCACATAACTTGCCAACTATCCAAACCAAGCGTTTATAAGAGATGGCAAAACGAAAACAAAATTAAATGAAAGAACATATATTGGAGAGCCTCCATAGCATTCTGATGAACAGACACTCAACAAAACGTCTTTTGTTAGCACTAAAGAAAAGGAGGCAGGTGCAGAAGCAAGTTGTGATCCTGCAAAAAAAACCTATTCAACCTTCCACGCATGCAGGATCAGCGAGAAACCAAGACCTTGCAACTGGGACTCCCTAAAAATCTGCGCGTAGGACCATGGCAGCGACTTCTCAGGTGCCTGGCATGTCTGAAACATGAACACCGCGTTGCTCGCCGTTGATCCAAAGAGCCAACTGTGAACATCCCAGAACACCTCCACAGGCAAGCCATCAACGAGAATTGTCTGATTTCCCCTAAACTTCCACGCCAGGCGCTTCACCTGCATCACGGGCTTCTTATCAACTCTTATTTCAAGACATGGATCCTTCAAGCCGACGGTATCGCACTCTATGGCAATGTCATGGAACTGGCCATTGTCACAGAATTGCGCCTTTGCGGAGTAGATCTTCTTCCCATATATGTGCTCCCTCCTCGCCACGAACGCGGCATTCAGCATCGACCGGTTGGCTCCAGTCTTCCTGTACGCATCCTTCTTCATGTCGCCAAGCAAGAGCACGAGCTCAAGGTCGAACACCACCGCAACATAGAACCCCTCCACCGGTTCTGGCCCGGCGCCGAACTTGGCCCCCGACAGGTCCCAGAAGATCTCGATCTTGCCGTCCTCGACGTCGAGGCTCTTGGACCCCTTCTTCTTGGAGAAGAGCCACGGCTTGATGTCTGCCTTGCAGAGGCAGTGGCCTGACAGGTCGTCGACGCCGATGCTGAGGCCCTGCCCCATGAGGCTCTTGCTCCACGTGAGCGAGATCACGCAGGGCCGGCCCGAGAACTGCGCCTGGTAGAGGCAGGTCACCAGGTTCTGCGCCGCGCCCTTGCCGGCGCTGGACGACGACGACGCGTCCGCGATCTGGACGCCGCTCTCGCCGAAGCAGGAAGGGAAGTCCCTCATGGCTGCCTGGCCCGGTCGGGGTCCTTCGTCGAACACCTGGCGTGCAGCCGCCCGCCGCTTGCCGCTTGGATCACAGCGCAGAGCACCGCTCCTCACCGCAGCAATCCACACCGCCCCGCGAGCCCGCCTCGCAATGCCGGCGAAGAGATGACCAGCCGCGCACAGATCGGCCACGCAGATACGGAGGCCGCCGTCGGAGATTGCTCGATCCGGCAATGCCACCTCTCGCGGACGCGAGATCCCGCTTTTACTTGCGAAAGGCAGCACCGACAACCGCCCGGAAATCGAGGGGCAGCGGAGGGAATGGTGTCGGAGCAAGATTCCTTCACGGCCCCGCCCCGCCCCTTCCTTTTCCACCGCGATACGACACAGCGGCGCCGCGTAGGCCACCTTCTTCGCCGCGAAACCGCGGCGACGGAGCGATCTTCCCTCCGCCGGGACTCCGTCGAAGGACGGCTCAGCCCTCCACCTTTATACCACAGCAGGCGAAACAGAAGCTTTCCCCAAGGCCAGGCCAGTCGAGGCGAAGGCTTCAGCTTCAAGGCAGAAGAAGCAAGCAATCACCGGTAGATGTATGGTTGCACACCCATGGCCATGGGAGAGTGGATTGAGAGGAGCAAGTGGGGAGAACACTGGCAACCACTCCAACCAGTGTACAGGCTAGAGATGAGGGAAGCAAAGCACCAAGCAGCCGCAGCAGCAAGGAGCTCAGAAGAAGTAGTGGGAGGGGTGGAGGTGGTGGTTTGGGAGGGGAAGGAGACAAGAGGTTAGCGAGAGGAGGGGATACAGTACAGCCATACAAGATACAGCACGCGCTGGCAGCTGCTCAGCTCATGGAGATGGAGGGAGGGAGAGGGCATCTCAGCAGCTCAGGGCAGGGCAGGAAGAGCTGCAGGCTGCAGCCGCTGGATCGCTGCTCCTCAGTCCTCTCTTTCTGTGACTGCTGCTGCCATGCCATTGCCCAGTGCTACTGTGACTACCGCGCGCTAGGTACCAGTACATTTTAATGCTAGGAGAGGGACTGGACTAGACTGCCTCTGTGAATTGTGATCTTGCAGATGATATTCACATCTACTGACTGTACTCGCAAAAGATCTTGAAGTCTGGGATTATGAACGGCCAGACAATCAGGAAAA